ATCCATCCATCCATCCATCCATCCATCCATCCATCCATCCATCAATCCCTTTATCCATCATCCATCCCTTCATCCATCAGTCCATCCATCCATCCATCCATCCCTTTATCCATCCAATAATCTATCCATCCATCCATCCATCCCTTTATCCATCATCCATCCCTTCATCCCTTCATCCATCCATCCATCCATCCATCCATCCATCCATCCATCCATCCATCCTTCCTCTGTATCTTCTCCCAGTGTGATGTGTCCCAAAAACCAGGAAGCTCTTACCCAGATTAGACTATCCAATCATTGCATTTGACTGTTTTGTGTGTATTTTTTGCTTGTATATATCGTCATGCCAACGAGTCTTAACAACCGACCCGGTACTGTCCCCCGTTGCCGTCGTCCAGCTCCAGGATGTATCCCTCGATGGGGCTGCCCACGGGCAGCGTGACCCTCCAGGCCAGAGTCACGCTGTTGTTCCGGGTGCAGCACTTCTCCAGCTGCAGGAGGGGGGCCGCGGGCACTGGGGGGCCACTCTCCGCTGCCGGGACAGGAGTTTTTAGATTTAATCGCGTTTGAAAGACACGTGAACCATGTCATGCGGGTGGGTTCTTGAAGGGAGGACGAAAATGAGATGACGGAAGACAAGGTTTATTGTAACAAAAAGGTGGAAGTCCAGACAAGGTACAAAAACACGGTAACAAAGTAACAAAGTAAAGATTACCAAAACTGTGACAAGGCTGTGGTAAAACAATGACAATGGCAAAGTAACAAAATAAAGATTACCAAAACTGTGACAAGGCTGTGGTAAAACAATCACAATGGCAAAGTAACAAAATAAAGAACAACAAGACTGTGGCAAAACTATGAGCAAAGTAACAAAGTAATAAGTAAACAAGACTGTGGCAAAGTAACAAAATAAAGATTAACAAAACTGTGACAATGCTGTGGTAAAACAATGACAATGGCAAAGTAAGAAAATAAAGATTAACAAAACTGTGACAAGGCTGTGGTAAAACAATGACAATGGCAAAGTAACAAAATAAAGAACAATAAGACTGTGGCAAAACTATGAACCAAGTAACAAAGTAATAAGTAAACAAGACTGTGGCAAAGTAACAAAATAAAGATTACCAAAACTGTGACAAGGCTGTGGTAAAGCAATGACAATGGCAAAGTAACAAAATAAAGATTACCAAAACTGTGACAAGGCTGTGGTAAAACAATGACAATGGCAAAGTAACAAAATAAAGAACAACAAGACTGTGGCAAAACTATGAACCAAGTAACAAAGTAATAAGTAAACAAGACTGTGGCAAAGTAACAAAATAAAGATTACCAAAACTGTTACAAGGCTGTGGTAAAACAATGACAATGGCAAAGTAACAAAATAAAGAACAACAAGACTGTGGCAAAACTATGACTATGGAACAAAATAAAAGACTATGGCAAAAATAGCAAACCTGGCGTGACGTGGGGGTGACGAAAGACAGACGAAAGACGAAAACGCACTCGCACAAGACATGGGAAACGAGGACTATTTAAACACATGAGGGAGGGGAACCCCAGGTGTACACAATAGGTAATCAAGACATGACGAGACACCAGACATTCCCTCAGACGTGACACGTGAATGGCGATGGAGGAGGGAAAAGGAAAAGGTGAACACTGAACCACAACAAAAAGGTAGCACGAAAGGAGAAAAAACCGTGTGAGCGGGGAGAGAGAACCGGCAGATTTAATGAGAATCAAGAGTGAGATTAACAACGACTCCAGGTTCATTATATACTATATATATATATATATATATATTCATTATATACATTACTATACCAGTGCTTCTCAATAGTGTGACCCTGGGGAACAGCCTTTTTTTTTTTTGGCCGTACTAGTATAAAGTGTAATTGCGCATCCACTCCAGTAGGGGCAGTGGCGCTAACATCGTTACTTCAGTGCAACATTTTACGACTTAAAGACAACAGGTTAGCCTCGGTTAACATCTGCGTTCTGTCTATAGCCTCCGTTATTCAACATAACCCCCAACATGAAAAGGTTTTTAACAGGGGTGAAAAGAAAAACGGAGAGACAAAGATAACAAGACAAAAGAAAGTGAACCGAAAGCTAAGTGTTTTATACATTGTGCTCCTGAGTTAATATTGCTTAACTAAATATAAATCCATCCATCCATCCATCCATTATCAATACCGCTTATTCCCTGATGGGGTCGCGGGGGGAACTGGAGCCTATCCCAGTGGTCTAAATATAAATTAGTTATTATTTTTGTTGCGAATAGTCTTCTTCTTGCTAGGGTGGGGGGCGTAACAGAAAATAATTGAGAAGCACTGATCTACAGTGAGATTAACAACTACTCCAGGTTCATTTTGAGGGCAACAGCTGGGAATCAGCGGAAGGCTTAAACTGAGCCACGTGAGGACCTTCATCTCTCTCATGGACATCCGGGCGGGAGGTGCATTGGGTTGGACAGATATGAGCTTTAAGACCCGACAAGGGAAGCCGAATCAATTCACTAAAGGGAGGGAAATCAAATTCAGTACGGGTGAGTGTCTTCAGTCTTCGGTTAGAATAAAAACGATCGACCGCCTGGGGCTAGGAGTGAACCTCCAGAGGGTGAGAAAGAGGAGAAAAGAAGAAAACCTGCATGGGGGAGGTCAAAAGCAGCATATCTGTCCGATCCCTGTGTTGGGTCAGAGTCGGGGAATTTCCATCAGTGAAACAGACTTAAATCTGCAATCCAAACCTTTTAGATTGTTTTACTGGCCAATGTCATTAACTCATTGACTGCCAAAGACGTCTATAGACGTCTTTTATGTTTTTCAACGAGAGTGGCTGGGGGACGATCTGCTAAAGCTTGTCCGTAAATATCAGGCTTCTAGACAGAGTATGTAGTAACAAATTGACCCTCTAGGGGGCAGTGCCACTTTTGATGGGAGATGAGCATAGACTGTAGGCAAATAAGAAAAAGCTAACGGTTCGCTATGAGAGAAATGGCGCCAGTGAGACGCAAGTCCAGGAAGAACGGAATAAGGTAGAAACAAACATTTTTTCCTGATGAAAGAAGAGAGTCTTTCTTTTGGTGTGTTCGGTGTTTACATAGTCATAGCACAAACTATTCTGTGGCTCTTGAAAAATCAGTCAAAATGCTCAAAAAACTCTGGCAGTATGGGACTCT